CAAAAATTTATAATGAAATCGCTGATGGTAAGGTGCAAAACAGCCGATTTTTGTTCGATTTGACGTGGAATGCCCCATATAGCACGGTGAGTACTAGTGGTGTCAATTTCAGAAAACGTATGTCCAAAGTCCGTCCAATGTCCGATGCTTGCGTCGATTGTCCGTCCAAAAATGTCCAAGCCAGTCATTTGTCCAAAGATATCCGACACCTACGCAATAGTTTACACTCAACACTGCTATTTAATTTGCTTTTCATGTACCGTTACAAGCTCAAAAGTGTTAATAATATCGAAAGCTGAGCTTTCTAATAGCCAATCAATGTTAAACACGACTACTTTTTAAAAATGTTGAGCTGTAGCAAGCGATTGTCCAAAGTTGTCCAAAGCCTGCTGCCATTGTCCAACCGAATTCCGAATTTGACATTGGACAAAATCGGAATTCCGAAGATTCAAGTTCCGATTGACACCACTAGTGAGTACCTTCTGAGTAAACTCCGTTGCAACGCGACACGGTGTGCGAACTTGCAATATGCAACGCAGCACGGTGTTGGGAAGTGCGCCGACCGAGGAACAACTTGTAGCACCGCTCAAATCGTAGTGCAAATCGTGCGCGGTGGAGCTCTATCTCACTACGAAGCGCTGATCCTAACGCTGATTATGACGGTCGAGTCGTAGCGCTGATGATCAAGGTGCTGATTGCAGCGCTGATTGTAGCTCAGCTTGTAGAGCGGCCAGTCAGCTACAGCTAATCGAAGTATACCTCGGTCGTATAAGACCGGCTCTGCAGGCTGAGTCAAGGCGTGTCACGTGCGTGTTCGCAGCCTTGTTGACACCGGTCTCCGGTGTGTTACCTGCAGCGTCCTGCAGCGTGCGCCGTCTCCACGATGGACAGAGTGCGCCACGCCGATCACGTCCTGAACAATGGGCTGTGTCAACGTCAAGGCTGAACAGTTGTTCACGGCCGCCGTGAGTGACTGACCGTAGCGTTTGCTGTTTGAAAAGACGTGCGCGCACATCAAGCGAAATAAATGTGCTTAGGCATTGATCTGATTGCTTCATATGACTCATCAATTTCATTGACCACATGCAGTTATGGTTTTCTTTTTTATCAGTCTTGGGTTTCATTCCTTTGGACGTAGGCCATCGATACTAAGTTCAATTCCGCTGGATTACGCCCATCTGCTTCTACTCACCTCGCCCCAATTAACCTGACCCAGTGTTCCCAGACTCCGCGTGTGTGTGGGGCGGTGGACACCCTGCCTCGCGGCCCAACAACCCTTGTAAGGTCACGCGCGGGCTGACTGACCGGGGCCCCACCCTGGCTCCACCCACGTCAATCGGTGTCGACTCATCAGCCATATCCCTCCGAACTCCAAACTAGTTTAATGGGTTATCAGCAATATCTCAATGTGCTGGCAATCTGAATAAACGGGCGAACGGTATCATCACTCGAGACGCCAAGTTGCGAAGCTTCTGACTGAATCTTAGCCTTTGAGCTGGCATTTCTAGCGCACTCCCCTCAACCACAGCGCTCAACGACTGGGCGTCTGCACTGCTGTCAATCCTCTATACCAGGACCTTCCTCAAAGTCCTGAGACGCCCACTGGGAGCCATTGTCTCACCGTCCTCCTATTATCGCCCTTGTCACCTGTCCTTCTGTCACACGCCGGCACTGGCGCCGCCCCAAGCCTGGTGACTGCCTGTTACGGCGGTGGGCCGGAGCGTTCCAACGACAGTCGACAGACCGTTAAAACAATGCGTCATTACTGCCACCGTCAGCAGGCGAGGGTACGCCCTGACGACGAGCTCAGCTGTTGTGTCGTCCTGTCGACACCGGGCGACCCGCCCCTGCCAAAACCAGGCCCCTGTCAACAACGGGTGCCCCGCACCTGCCGAAACCAGGCCCCTGTCAACACCGGGCGCCCCGCCCCTGTTGAAACCAGGCCCCTGTCAACAACGGGCGCCCCGCCCCTGCCGAAACCAGGGCCCTGTCAACACCGGGTGACCCTCCCCTGCCGAAACCAGGCCCCTGCCGACGCCTGGCGACCCGCCTTTGAAGATTGAAGACTGAAGACGGTGCCCCGCTCCTGCTGACACCGGGTGAAACATGCCCCTGTTGACACCGGGCGTTCTGATCCTGTCGGGGCGCCCAGTTTTAAACTATGTAGCCACTGTCGGCGTGTGGCACCCCTTAGTCCTCCCCTAACCCGGTCCGTTCGCGCTTTGTCATGTGGCTCGCCGACAACAGGATTTGTGTCACTCTCCCGTTTTACGTGCGAAGGGTTTGATGGACGAAGTGGAAGGTGGTCGGCGTGTGTTGATAGGAAGACACGGAATTGACGAGGGAAGGGGAAGACCCACACGACATGGCCGAATGAACACTGGCACGGTAGAACTGAGTGTCTTTGCCCACTGCTCAACCTTGGAGACGTGTAAGGTGCTCACGTGCCGCCGAAGTAGTCGAACTACAAGGAAAACACGCTGAACCATACGGCAACGGCATTTGTTGATGTGTCTTTTATCACGATTGGAGGCGCCGGTGTAGGGAAATGCTATGAAAACCTACCTTGTCAATGACATTCATATGAAATCTGAACGAACCCTTGGCATTGAGCAGGTGCCTCCATATCATAACTTGAAGCGACAGGATGACGTCACCTTTCCTCCCATACCTCCGGCTGTTTGTATATGTCGCTTGCGTTTGCCCGGTGTATACTCGCACCCCGTCCACTGGAGCAGAGCGGTCGCGGTGGGCGGTCTCCACCCCTCTATCTCCGGTGGACCGGGACCAGATCAGAGCACGATAGCCGGACAACGGTGCAGGCCGCGGAATGATGGATGTGTGCACGGTACTGCGACCAACTGAGTGACCAACCAACCGACCAACATGTTTTGAATACAATCAGAGAAAGGGAAACGGGACTTTGGTTGGGATGGGAGGGAGGGGCGATGTTACGATAACCCATGGATGGGAGTTGAAAGGGTGGTGAGGCAGAAAAGGATGCGTCGAAAACAAGCAATATGAATAGATGGTTCATGCCAATTTGACAAACTCTGGTTGAAATTCAAATCACGTCCCTCTTTTAGGAACTAGAAATATGTGATCCAGAAGTTTAATTTTTATGATTCATCCTCTTGTGACTGCGCACACAATACCAGTTCCACTGCAGCCTAAACAAGGACAGCGTTGTCAATTGTGAAACAATGCACGGTCTTCGCTCTCGCTGCTATGTCAGTGAGTCAGCAGACAGTACGCTGGTAAGACCTTCACGTCAGCAGTCGCCTTGGTCGCGGTCAGGGTTCAGCTCACGTCCCAAGACAAATGTCATTTGTGTTACATGTGTGTCTTTTATGACCGTGAATGGTGTGTTCGCGTCCTTGTGTCCGATTATGTGTCCGTATCCAGGTGTCTGTGCTCGTGTGTCCGGTCTACGTATGTTTCTTTATCGCTGCCCCTGTCCATGTTTCGTGTGTCCGTGTGTCCTTGTCCGTATCTTTGTCCGTAGTCCGTATCCCTGGCCACTCGCTCCGTCTGTCGTGTCCACTCTGGGAGAGGAGGGGGGGGGGGGTGCTCGGAAGTTTGAACGTCGCTCCATGCAGTGACCGCTAGCCCATACCATACCTGGCGTGCCGCCGCTCACTGCGCCGGGTCCTAACCGGCCTCGGTGCATAGCGATCAACTGAAGTCGTCGTTCCATAGACACGTGCCAGCGAGCTGTGACCCTTGTCATACAGCAAACTACGCCGCCGAAAATGGATTCAAATCATATTAAACGCATATTTTGAATGTTAAAAAAGAATAACATATGGCATACCTATTGGATATTGCATGCATTGTGCTGTCAAGTGCGCATTTAAATTACGTAGTTTCAGTGCGCAAAGCTGTATGAAACCAGCCGCGGCGCACAAGGCTAACCCACGCCCACGTGAAATGGATTGCGAGGCTTGTGGCGAGCCTACACGTATAAACCGGCGCCGTATCAGAGGTCAGATCGGTCAGGCGCCGGTAGGTCGGAGGTCAGACCTGTCAGGATGGAAGGGTCAGGGGTCACGCGGGGCAGTACGGTCGACGTCGGACCCTGAGTCGTGTCGTGAGTGACGATTGGTCACAGCTGGGCTAGGCAGACAGTGATCGGAGGTGATATAATGACCACCATTCAGCTGTCAGGTAGGAGGGAATTCAGCGTAAGCATGGGGGAGCTGTCGACGTCTGTCAGAATGACGAGCGTGGCAGCTGACATTACGGGATGTTTGGAAAACAGGATAAAGTAGGCAGAATCTTAATTAGCTGGCGAGAGTACACAGACTTAGCTGCTGTTGTGTTAATACGTGTCATCCGCAATCCTCTTTTATATAAACATAAGCTTATATCAAAAAAGCATTATTCTGAGGCCAGCAAGCACGCTGCTGTTGTTTTGGTTTAGGGTATAACCTTGATCAATGGGCCGGGGTGACTCCTAAAAGCCACCGTGCTGCACAAAGCCTGGCTGCAAACAATGTGCATTGTTTTTAGGATAAAGGCCCAGCCCCCGGCGTGACACGCACGAACCACCGTGCAGTGCGGGGGGGGGGGGGGCTCAGCTCTGCCAGCACGTGGCCTATTCGAGCGTCGACGCTCCTGGCAAGTCCGTGTACCCGAAATGTCAGCAGGCCATTGGCAGATGGACGATTATATTGGACTGTAAATATGTCATGTAAATTTAACCGTAAATTTAAGTTGTGTGGATGCATTCGCGTCCCTAAATTATGTAAATGCTGATTGGCATCAATGTTCTTTGTCAATTTTAATTGTCTTGATAATGGCCATTCCGCACATAAAACTCAGAGCTGGCATACCACCATTTGAAATGGCTGATGCGCTAATTGTCTAATTGTTGTCGTTAGAGAGAGACAGCGGTCACATCCCTCGCAGTAATGTCTTTATTTTATTCTTCTTTGTTGGTTAATTGTATACATAGATAGAAAGCAATGTGTTAACTGCTGCTGGACTACGAATCTCACCTTATCTTTCTCCTTCTCCCGTTTTCCTCCGAACAAGTTTGAGAAAGCCTTCTTCATGTTGAAGGTTACTCTTCAGACTTGAGCGATCATTTAGGGTGTAAATCTCCAGTGCCTTGCAGCAAATGAAGGGCGGTGAATCACGTACCACAATATTAGTAAGCAAATCCCTGGCTCAGAAGAGGGATCAGACTCTGAGCCCAGCTCTGTCTCACGGGAATATTTTCAGTGATCTAGCCACCAGTTTCGGCACCAACTCGGAATGTGACGATCTCTAGCTTCACTGCTAGGTCGGGTACAAGTTCGATCACTAGTCGGATCGCGCTGCTGTCGCTGTCACTAGCTCGATCACTAGTGCAGGGTAGTTCGCTCACTAGTTCGTAATTGTTCACGTAGTTCACACAGCACGATTCGCACAGTAGGGAGAAGCTCACGGAGCTACCGTCGATGTCTTGCGCGCTGTCCACCGTCTCGACCCGCTCCTGCGTTGCCGGAGCTCACCCGTGCGACCGGCGCTGTTCGGCAGCGCTCTAGCCGACACCGGCAGCTCGGGCGGCCGCCGTGCGCGTCACTGGGGAACGGCGTGATGCGGCGCCGCCGCCGCCGCCGCCGCCGCCGCCGCTGCCGCCGCCCACGGGGAGCGACTGACGCGGCCACCGCCAGAGACCGCCACCGGCGAACGTACCGCCCGGACCGTACTTTGGAGCTCAGCTCAGTTACAGGGTGTCCAATGCTCAGTCACTTAGAGGCCAGAGCTCAGTCAACTAATGACCAGAGCTCAATCAAATAAAGGCCAGTGCTCATTCACATGAAGCCAGCTACGTCACATAGAGGTCAGAGCTCAGTCACTGAGTTATCAGAGCTCAGTCAACGGGTTGCCAGATATCAGTCACATAAAGGCCAGAGCTCAGTCAAGTAGAGGTCAGGGATCAGTCAATAAGACCTACCAGACCAATCATCTAGACCCATCAGTTATTAGACCCATGATTCCAGACATTGGGAGGCGCCCCATGGGCTTCAAGCCAAATCTTCGAGAAATTACAGCGGAGGAGCTCAAACCCCTAAGAGGTGTGCCGGAAGAGGAGCTCAGTCATTCAGAGACGCCAGAGACAGGACTCACGACTTCAATTTGTGGCATTCATGGACTCCTGAACTGATGTCAGACCGTCAGCCGCTTATGTCAGGACTGTCTCAATGCACACACCCCAAATTAGAACTGGGAATCATGCAAAATTTTCCCTATGGTTCCGGTTATTGTGAGATCTCGTGTAAGAGCTCTGCCGCTCGAAGACGCTTCGTCCCTTGTCCAGTCTCCGGAAGAGACGCCCCAGACCTACAATGAGTTTCCGGAATATTTATTATATAAGTTTCTAAGCGACTCACCAAACCAGTATGAACACTTTGATTCTTCATATCATGGAGCTCAATCGAGCATGTCAATCACAGGTGATTTGTCACGCAGACGAGCTCAATGACGCATTTGGTGTGTCCGAGCAACTACATAGGTCATTAAAAGACGCACCAGGCCCAGAGTGGATAGTTAGTGTGAGGCGTTCTAGGCCAGAATCGCTCTAAACAAACAAAGTAAAGTCAGAACAAAACTCTGTCACAGAGATCGATCGCGTTCCCCAGAGCTCAGTGAAACAGCCATGGGAGCTGTGGGAAGCCGGGCACAGAGAAGGTCATTTATGTCTCACCTCAGGCGTGACGCGGCCAGTCTGTGTGATAACCCATGCGAGGAATAACTGGTTTCTAATGGACAACATCGAGCGTATTATTGAGAAATCCACAGATCCATGAGGCGATGATCCATGGTTGTTTGTTACTAACGGAAACGAACTTAGCAAACGTTATACTATCACGTGTTTTGTAGTTGTTTGGGATATGTATGTACATAGGTACCAGTACCTATTCCCCACATTATTTAGGGTGATGGAGTTGGTTGTATGTATACGGCCTTGGTTGTATGTATAACACCCTGAAGTGTATGTAAAATCAATACATATGCAGTAACTAAATCGATGATGTAGCAAATAGCAATGTTTTTTCGTGTCACTTTCTTTCCTCTCGCCTCCATCCCTCTCCTTTTGTTCTCCCTTTCTCTCTCTTCTTTTCTCTCTCTCCCCTTGCTTTCTCACAAGCTAGGACAGCCATTCTCCAGTGTTCATATGATTTAAGCTATATGATTAGCCTGAACAGTAAGTCGAATTTGCATCCTCCTGCATTAGGTGTTTAAAGCGTACATACATACAATGCTCTATGCTGCTGCACTTTGTAGCAAATGGTGCATAGTTAACCAGCATTAATGAGGCGAATATGCGACATGCAATAAAAGCAAGTGCCAGCAAACTCTAAAGTAGCGTCATTAATTATGCCTCATTACGTCTAATCATGTCTAAGTGCTGCTTCTTTGATCGTGTAAGAAGGCCATGTGGCAATTAGATACACCACTGCAGCCTGCACGCTGAAAAAAAGCACGGGTTTTTCCTTGTTCAGGATGTACCTGAATAGTTGCTTGGGACAGGGCCGGCTCGTCTTCTCGTGCTTTTAGGGGACTTGGCACGGTGGCACACATTATGGTAATGGAAGATAAAAGGCTTGACATTTCTTTGAGCACGTGAGATTCGTCAGTTTGTCCAACATGCTTGTGACTTTTGTTGGTCGGCAGAAGCCAGAAACTCTAGAATAGCGAAAATTGAGATCATTGTTTAATTTATCATTACAAATTCTTGCAACGCATACCAACTAATCACTGATCATAATTAATCATTACAAATTCTTGCATCGCATGCTAACTGATCACTGGTCATCAAATAAGCTTTCTGTTATTTAGTGTTTGATAAGATTAGTGTATGCCCTTAGGGATATTGATTTGGGTGAAGCCGTTGACCTAGGGCTCGATCGTATTTAGAATGGGCGTTTAAGATGTCGTTTTGCGAGAGGATCGTACCTATTCGTCCCATTCTTACTAAATGAAACTATTGATAGCTTTTGAAGCTTACTAAAAAAAAAATCAAAAATCGGGATGAGGATTGCTGTTATGTGACTGTGTGGTGCTGATATAGAAAAAAACTTTGTAGTACGCGAATACCTATTTTACATATTGTCACACTTCATTCGTTTCAACTGACAGTACCTGGTCGCTGCGCAGCTCCTCCAGCTCCCGCTCTCCGCGCAGTTCGCCCCGGTCGCTGTGTACCTCCTCCAGCTCCGGCTCGCCGTGCAGTCCCTCGAGCTCGAGCACCCTGAACTCGATGAGCTCGGCGTGCTCTCGGAGCTCGCGCAGCTCAGAGCTGACCCGGCGCCGCAGCTGGCGCAGCTGTCGCTCCAGGGGGGTCTCCTCGGGGGAGTCGGAGGGGCTCCGGCGGCGGGACGGGGACGGATGGGCCGCCGGACTGCGCTCACCGGCGACCGACTGTGGAGGGAGACAGGGAGGTGGTGTGATGTCACTAATAAGGAGGGAGCTGACGTGGAGTGAGATGACCGGGAACCTGGGCTAAGGGTATACATAAGCATATTGGGGCTGACAAAAGCTTGGGTCGAATGCCACACCGATGGAAATCATTGAGCCGTTTACCTATTACGTGCCTATTACCTGAATTGTTGGGCCTCTTCATCTGATGAACACATGGGGCATTTAAGAATATCTTTCTTGGATACAGGTTTTTATGTCTGGCATACTACCACACTCCTTGCTACCATTAAATGCTGAATGTTTCGGGTCATTCACCACACATTGGCCCTGCTCTTCGCAATCAACGCAGCCCTCAGCAGCGACATCTACATTCATAGAGGGCGCCACCGCTGAACACCGGCTTACCTGGACCACCAGATGATAACGGGCGTTGGACTCCCGATGGGGGCTGTCCTCGAAATTTGCTTTGGACTGAGCTGGTGGCGGCAGGGGCGGTCGCAGACTTGGAGTTTGGGGGGGGGGCCAACTTGGCAAAGGGGCCCCTGCGCTGACCCGGGGGGCCCGGTGCTAGCTCAAAGGGGCCCACGGGCGTAGTGCACGGGTACAGAAATCCAGGCCATGACCGGTGAAGCGGGGGGGGGGGGGGGGTAGGGAGCGGCACCCGAGCGGAGGCTCATTGCGAGCTTTAAAGGTGTACAATGTCGAAAAGGTACCGATAAGTGCATTTTGAATTATTTATATTGTCTATAATTCACGCAACTGTGAATGGATTACCGCAAAAGTAAAGGCGGCTTAGGCGGCTAACTTTGCTATTTTCTAACATCATCGTGCTAAAACTTTTGACAGTGGGTCCTCGGTATCTGTTCACTGTTCAATCACATGTGTTCCGTTTCATCTTCTCTCTTTTTTTTACTGGGCACAAATGTAAGTTTTGAAGACCATTACAGTATCAAATGCTTCGAAAGATGGATAGTGGGTAAAATATCCTAAATTTGTCGTGCTGCATGGAAAGTAGTGTTGCTGAGAAAAGGGGGGTTTGTTCTAGATTATTGTGGATGCAGAATACATTGTCTACACCCACTGCAGAATTGTGTTTGGTGCAACTGCGCCCACTGCACCCATGGTTCCTACACTTATGGGCCCATCGATAGCGCTTAGGCGATACCTATCGCCTAGAGGCTGCAATGGGGCCCTTAGAGTACGGTGTCAGACCCCCCAGAGGCCGGCGTTGGACCCAAGGGTCAGCGAAGGGTCTCAAAGGCCCCAGGTAGGACCCCAGAGGCTGATGTGGGCCTTCAGAGGCAAGTGCGTGACCCCCGAAGGTAAGGCTTGAGCCCCCCAGAGAACATAATACGGCCATCAGTGGCCGGTGTAGAGACCTCATAGGCCAGTTTGGGGCCCCTCAGAGGTTAGTGTGGGGCCTGAGGTGTCGGCATGAGACACTTAAAGACCGTTATGGGTCCTCAGAAGCCGGCATCGATCCTTCAGAAGCCAGTACGGGGCCCTCAGAGGCACATAAGGGTCAGTTTGGGTCCCAGAGACAGAAATGGGACCATCAGAGGCCGGTGTGGGACCTAGGCTGGTTTGGGCCCTTAGGGGCCAGTTTAGGGCCCTCAGAGACCAGTACAGGGCCTGCAAAAGGCAGGTTGAGACCATCAGAGACCGAATTGGGCACTCAGAGGCAAATGTGGGTCCTTACAGGCCAGCATGTCCAGAGGTTAGCGTGGTGCCCTAAAAGACCGACATGGGCCGGCGTTGGACCCCAGAGGCCAGTAGAGGGCCCTTAAAGGCCAAGATGGGCCATCAGAGGCCGATGCGGGCCCTTACAGACCGGCATCGGGTCTTTAGAAGCTCGTGCGGGGTCCTCAGAGGCTAAGGTGGGTACTTACAGGCCAGCACGAGCTGTCAGAGGTCAGTGTGGGGCCCTAAAAGACCGGCATGGGCCGGCGTTGGACGCCAGAGGCCAACAGAAGGCCCTCAAAGGCCAAGATGGGTCTTCAGAATCCAGTGCGGGGGCCCTCAGAGGCTAATGTGGGCCCTTACAGGCCAGCATGGGGCCCTCAAAGGTCAGAATGGGACCCTAAAAGACTGGCATTTGCCGGCGTTATACCCCAGAGGCCAGTAGAGGGCCCTCAAAAGTCAAGCTGGGCCCTCAGAGGCCGATG